GGTCTGCAACTACGGCTAGCTCCTTTGAAGTGGCGGTTTCCGGCGGTTTCGACTCCTATCGATTGTCCAACCCTCCTAGGTTAATTACCACCACTTTATATCAATATTCTACACTTTTAAATGTGTAGAACTCATGATTTAATCCACCATATGATTCCTTAAAAAATCATACACAAAAACTAGTTAAAGAAAATACTAGTTGAGCTCTTACCTCAACTCAAGCCTTTTCCTTTTGGATTTCCTTCTTCCTTAGGTCCTTCAAGCTCAAGAATACTCTGAGATTTTCTCAAGTCTCCTCCCTCTCCCTCTCTTGTGTGAGTTATCCGTATGATTAGAGTAGGGGTGGGGGAGTATTCTTTACTCTCAACCCAATCACTCTCATGAAGAGTCCAAAGGTAATTAATGGGTGAGGGTGAGTTTGTCTCCCTGAGGTTTCCCTTATTATTTGATCAATCAGCACCCCTAAAACGTGGGGTGGCCCCCACTTATGTGGGAGGTCATCCCATTATGTCCCGGTGTGTACAATCGGCCCCGAAAGTTGTATTTTTCGGACTATTTTAGTCATATTTTATTTTATCGGGCCAAATAAAATATATCACATGATCCTAATAATTATGGGCCTTTAGAATAGATGTACATTCCCCAACATTAATTTAGAAGCCTCCGAGACTCATTTCGGGATGTTCTCTGTTAAATTACCAATACCGGTAATTGGGCCCCGTTTGACCAACCGGTCAACTCCATGCCTTTCTTATGGCCCAAATAAAATATCCACCATCATATACATATTATCTAGACCAAGATGAATATAATATGTGGTTCGGGAATTATCGGGCGACCCCCCCCCCCCCCCCCCGGTCCGGACGTGGGCCCCACATGCAATTTACTATTCACGTAAAAGAATTAATAAAATTTACATTTACGAATTTTCATAAATCATCCTTTAAGGTTTATTACATAATTTACTAAAAGTAAATATGCTTGGGGACGGTGCTACACCTTATACCTATTACATCCCATATTCTTCATTATTTCAATCATGAAATACTGAAAAGTAATCCAAACGTCATTTAACTTATCTGCTTCTAGCTTTTCGAATGCATTGTTCACAGCTTCAATGAGGTCATCCACTGTTTTCTGTTTGAATTTTTGTTGTAGGGATTGAATAGATCTACAAAATCCCAAATCTAAAATGTTTAGATCTGGGTTGTTAGGAGGTTGGTATATGAGATGAATGTCCCACTCGTCTCTTGTGGCAGCCTCCTCAAATTCTGGGTCGAAGGGGTTAATGTGGGGTTAAACGTTGTCTTGTTGAATGAAAATAGTCTTACTTGCACTTTGAGACCACTTTTCCTTGATAGTTGGTAGTACCTTGTTTAACAGGCATTCTTGTGTGACTTGTTTGGTGATGGAAGTCACCGCTTTTGTCTCCAGTGTTCCCTTTTCCCTATTTTTGCTTCTTCTTTTTGCTGGTTCACTAGTTGTGAATTGGAAGATTCATATCTTACCATCAAATAAAACTTCACCATTTGGACCAAATTTTGGCCTAGCAACTGCAGCCATGAACATAATCTTAGTTATGAAACTTTTAGATTTGCAACTTCTGTGTGGATCCATTTCTTCTTGAGTCAGATAGTACTTTTGACTTGTTTTTGTCAAAAAGAACCATTTTTCATCAATATGAATGTAGTTTTGATGATCAATGAACTTAGGATCATTCAATAGTAAAGTAGGCTGAAATTGAGAAAGTACAAACATGAGCCTTTTTCTTTTGTTCTCTTCAGTTAAATAGGGTTTGATTGCACTGATGTGGCTTCTCAGTTCACCTCTTTTTACAGCCATATGAACTATTGATTTGCCCATTTTCAAAGCCTTTGCAAGTCTCCTTATGTTAGTTCTATGTTGTAGTGGAATCTGACTCACCACAGTGTTGTCTACTTCCTTCTTTGGCCTTCCCTTTTTGCCCGGAATTCTGGATTTCACATTAATCTCTTCATGTTGTTGCACCTATCTGCTTGCTTGTGCCCAGATTCTACTCACAGTTTTTCTGTTTACCTGAAATGCAGCAGGTGTCTCACTTATGGAGCCCTTTTGCAAAGTACCCCCAATCAATGCCTTTTTTCTCGAAGGACATCCACAATGCACTACCTCTCAACATCTGACAAGTTCCTCTTCCTTTGGGTTATAAGATATTCATTTTTCTTTTAATGTGTAAGGGAAAAACCTGCATGCAGGTTGTCGTACGTCTTTAATGCCCAGACTCTATTTATAGAAGGGCTTATGTATGTAATTGTTGGAGACTTTAACATTTTGGGGGGATTTGAAAATTTCAAGTGGTAAAATTTTAAGTTTCAACGGTATGCTTTTACTTTTCGGCGCTAAAGTTTGCGGTATGGATTTTCAGCTTTTAATTTTCTGAAATGTGTGTCCAGAATAGTGGGGTAAAGATTTTTTTAGAATCAATGGTGCTTATATGTGTCCAGAATAGTGGGGTAAGGACTTTTAATAATTTGCAATGCTATCAAGATAGTGGGACATGGGTTTTGTATGTCTTGTAATGCTTTTGTATAAAGTAACAGTAGTGAACATTGCCTATAGGAGACCCGATTCGATGCTTTATGCAGTTCACTTGGTATTCGAGCCACTCCCTTCCGTCCCAAACTTAGGGGGACAGAGGGAGTACTATTTTCCCCAAACAAGGAGTTAACTCCTAATCCTCCCCAAATATGAGTAAACATTAATTGTTTACCCCAAATACCCCTATTTCAATGAATTAATTAATTGCCCCTCCTATTTCCCCTAGGCAATGGGGGTAGGATGTTGGTGGCGGGGGCAGTCGATCTAGTGGTGGCGGTGGCAGCAGCGGCCAACAGCGGTGGCGGCAGACATTGGCGAAGCTCCAGTGAATGCGGCAGTGGTAGGAAGACCGGGAAAATATCTGGAATTTTTTTACCTCCTCGGAGCTCCGGCAGTGGCGGCGGCAATTCAGCGAACTTCAGAGGCCGACGACACAGTAGCAGTAGGCAGCATGCAGGAGTAATGACAGGAACATTCTTGTCCATTTAGAAGAAAATACTCCTATTTGAGGAATTTTAAAACTTTTCTCCTATTTTTGCACAACTCCTATGTTTTACTCCTCTTTTGGGAATCATCTCAAAAAAAATGTGTAATCGTAGAACTTGTGACCAAGTTGGTGGTGCTTGTTACAAGATTAACAAATGTTCTTCTATGTGGGATTAGTCATATATGTTATCTTCCTTGACAAAGGGCTAGGATTGTCAATTGTGAGTTTTGGCACTACCAAGCGCGCACTTGGATTCATTTAATCCCTTTTGAATAATTGAATATTAAGAGAGAGATGAGTACATAAGAGGAGAACGTATTAGAGATGTATGATGTTTGCCCTTTATTCGTTTACATTTTGAAAATTGACAAAATTGAATGAAGCATATTTAAACAAAAGTTAGTGACTGAGCTCATGAGTGTCCAAATGTGTTGAAAGAGAGTGTATTTTATGTCTATTTGGTCCACTTAAAAGCTTAATATCTAATTTAAACTTTCAAAATGATGTTATGACAAACAAACAAAAAGTGTATGCAAAACCCATTAATTATGACATTTAATTTCTAATATATGACAAACAAACTTAGGCATGACTATACATGAGTAGTAACATAGTTGAATGGAGAAAAAAAACAGCATAAAGACACATAAAGTGTATGCAAAACGCATTAATTAAGGAATAAAAAACTATTGCCTCCGGTCCTAAATAAATTTCACGCTTTCCTTTTTGAGTAGGTCCAAAATAAACTTCACACTTCTTCTCACTTCCTTATTTGGCAAATTATCTACATCAAAACAGTGCAAAACATTGTCAAACACTGTCAGAATAGTGTACTCTACAGTAAAGTCAAATTTATTTCCTTAATTTGTGTGAAGTTTATTTAGGACCGAAGGGGGTATTTACTTGCTACGTATATTTTAGGGATCACCGGCCAACTCTTTTACTCATACTCCTAGTAATTTTCTCATTTATTTTGAGATAATTCCCATAATAGGAGTAAACGTGATAAAAAGGAAAAAATATGAGTAGTTGTTCAAAACTCACAAAAGAGGAGTTTTTTTATATTTGGACAAGAATACCCCTAGAAGGTATTAGCCTTGCGGATGCCATTGCTACAGTGTCGTTGGCCACCGACAAAATGCTCCCATCCACGTCACCGTCGCCAAAATGATTCTAAATTTTTGCCGCCGCATGTCTGCCGGTCACCGCCGCCACTAGCGGGTTGACCCGGTACCAACGGGTTGACCGGTTATCCAAGAGAACTAGAAGGATAATTGATTGTATTTCGTATTAATTAATTAGATTAGGAGTATTAGAGTTAGAAATTAAAATTAATGTTTACTGGAAGATTAAGATGAACTGTTATTTAGAGAAAAGAAGTACTCAATATGTTTTATTTTTATTAAGCATTTAAACCCAATTAGTTATTTGTTTTTTGATAGATTCTATGGTACCCTTAAGGTACCATACCTTTGTCCGCATGGATCAATCAGAATGATGTAGTTGAATTATTTAAATCTAAATTAAAAATGATGTAATGATTTGAACCAATCAAGTGAGTGGTAGGTACGGTATCCCATTTTTTAAATGAGTACCGGAGTTGTCACCTTTTTTACTCATTTTAATTAAGGGTAGATTCTATGGTACGTAAGGTACCATACCTTTGTCCACATGAACCAATGAGAATGTAGCAGTTGAATTATTTAAATCTAAATTAAAAACGATAAAGTGATGCGGTCCAATGAAATGAATGATAAGTACCGTACCCCATTTTTTAGAAAAGTACGAAAGTTGTCACTTTAATTAAGTCCTATGCAAATGCGTAACCATATTGGCCCTGTCACGCTCGCATTGTGCTATCACTGCTATGGAAAAATTTCATCACAAAATAACATTGCTCACATGAATTTATTGAAAGTCTTAATTGGGTCGATGAATGGAATTATGGAAATATAATATTTAACAATTAATCTTTGTTGTATTGTTGGCGCAGTATCGCCGCTTGATCTGATCTCTCCCTTTCGCCTAATCCAATCTATCCCGGCCTGCTCCGGCGCCGATCATATTTTCCGGCAACCAGAAGAAGAGATCGAGAGGGAGAGAGTCGCATCAATATCATACAATTTGCCCACAAATGCATTATCAAAAACCCACAATCTCTGTATGCATGTATTATATTTTCAATCTCTATCTAGGTTTGATTTGAAACATTCACGTTCTTATTGGGGTTTTCATTTAGGACATCTTCTCCCATCTCCATGCAAGCATGCATGAGAAACGAATTTGATGTTACGTAAGAGGGGTAATTGATGCATGCAGAATTGTTGCATTTACGTACGTTACGTAGAAAAGAATGTGTCAGCCATCAAATGCGGCGGCACCACCTCCCGGAGATCTACCATCACCAACCTTCGACCGCCGAATTGTCGACCTGAATGCGCCGACCGTCCGACTATATCAAGTGTGGAAAGGAAGTAACGTAAGCTTTCTTTCTTTCTTTCTAAGTATCATTTGCAGGCTCCAATCTCTATTACGGAGTATATATATTCAACCAGGTTCTCATTATAGTACTCCGTACGATTTAATTAATCTTACTAGCTAGCTAGCAAATTGCCCAACCTATAATGGGATTCTTGGGGATGAGGTCCATCATATCCTATTAATCTTATGAAAAATAGATTATGAGAAATGTAATGCTCAGAGATTGAGTTTCTAAAAAAGAAATTACTCAAAATTAGAGCATTAATGCACAAAGTTCAAAAATATGATTGTCAAATTTTCACCTCTCTAGCTCAGATCACACTCAAACAGCACACAACCAAGCATCACCGGAAGGGACAGTCACACTCAGACCAGCCCAACCATCTCAACCCACACCATGGTCAGAAAAGGGAAGCACAGAGAGAATAACACAAAGGGATCGAAGGAGAAGAGACTGGAAGTCTCTCTCACTATCTCTCTAACCTCACACTCTCTCTCTCTAACCGAAGAGAGATGGAAACATGGTGTGTTTTGAGAGGGCTGGGTTGGTCTGAGTGTGGTTGTCCCTTCCGATGGTGCTTGGTTGTGTGCTGTTTGAGCGTGGTCTGAGCTGGAGAGGTGAAAACCTGACAATGATTAATTGTGTTATTATCAAACATGACTTAATTTAGCCCTAACATGTATATGGCTTCACACATTTTTGAAGTGATCTAATATGATATCTTTAAGTCTAGCTAGTATGAGATGGAAACAAGGCCAGCTGAAAAGTTGATTACTTTAATCATATTAAAACACAATTACAACGTTATGAAATGGGAGTGATTGAGTCTTTTGTTAGAAGAAAACAATGTTACTCCTTTCTGAATAAATGTACTATGGTTTATTTTTATTTAGAGAATTTTATAAGTAACCAATAAACAATTTCTCAAGGAATTAATACCAAGTATGAATAGTAGAACTGTAATAAACTGCTCATATACTACTCATTTTACTATAAGTTCTTCCGATTATTTATATGCTGCACATCTTCAATCCTTGCATGTTCTTTTGATTAATTTTTTTATTTAAACTATTTGATGCAGAATTTCATATTTGGGGGCAGACTCATATTTGGTCCAGATTTCAGATCAATATCTTTCACGCTATTCTTGATTTTGGTTCCACTACTCTTGTTTTGCGTTTTCGTTTCAAGAGGGCTTATTAATAAACTCCCTCATCCAATAGGTCATATTCTCCTAGCACTAGCACTTGTCTTCACCACCTATGTGAGTATATATAGTAATTTCTGTCAACACACACACGTTGCATAGTAGGCCAAATATCATAAAAACAATAACTGTAAAAATATTTGTCTCACACCAGAAAGCTATAAAACAATAAAACATTATATAAGTTTTTGGGTTGCTCCTCCTATCGGGTTGATTTTTTAAGATGGAACCCCGAACCTTAACTTGGTATCAGAGACAATTCTGGTTGTTATTTGAGTGCTTGTTTAGCACCCATGATTATGGATAACTTATTAAGGGTATGTTTGGCCCATTTATACACCCCGATACTGTCCAACCCGGCTCGGGTTGAGGGGGCATGTTAAAGTATTTGTCCCACACCGGAAAACTATAAAACAATAAAACACTATGTAAAGCTTTGGGTTACTCCTCTTATCGGATTGACTTTTTAGGATGGAACCTCGTACCTTAACAATAACACCTAATGATTGATGATATGTAGTGGTAATTGAATGCAGATAATCGTTCTTCTTTTCGTCACGTCGGGAAGAGATCCGGGAATAATTCCCCGAAACTCCCACCCGCCGGAGCCAGATGATGAACTGGACACCTCTAGTATCTCCACAGATTGGGCGGGGAGTCAGAGTGGTATGAGTTTACCTCCAACAAAGAGTGTTATAGTGAATGGGATAGTTGTGAGGGTAAAGTACTGTCAAACATGCATGTTGTACCGCCCCCCACGTTGCTCTCATTGTTCTATATGTAATAATTGTGTTGAACGGTTTGATCACCACTGCCCATGGGTGGGACAATGCATTGGAAAGGTAAGTACTTTTATTCTTCTATTAAGATAGATGAGTCGTATCTTGAGATAAAACCGAGTCGGGATGGAAAACGAGTTTGGGTTATTTGAAAACAGGTCAAATTAAAATTGACGTGAATATGAGTTTTCCATCCCGACTAATCATGTTTTATTCACATCCGCATCAATTTTTTCGAAATATGATCATATGAGCACTACCCCTTAAGGAATCAACTTTTATTGATTGCACTCTCTTTTTTTGCAGAGAAATTATCGACACTTTTTCATGTTTGTTTCTTCTACAACTCTCTTGTGTCTATACATTTTTACTTGTTGTTGTATAAGCATTAGGCTGGTAATGAGAGCGGAAAATTGCTCTTTTTGGAGGGCTTTTGCCAAATCACCTTATTCGGGAATTCTTATCATATATACATTTATCGTTTCTTGGTTCGTTGGAGGTCTCACTTCATTTCACATATACTTGATCCTCACCAATCAGGTACATTCTATTTTATTGCTGCTTTTTTCACATTTATATAGTAATCCCTCTGTCTCCCTATAATTGTCTAATTTTTTCATTTTTGAATGTCTCTCTATTATTGTCTCATACCATATTTGGTAACATTTGTATGACTTTAATTCATTCTTACTTTATTCTCACTTTACGAACTCATTATCAACCACACAATTCTACTTTTCTTAAAAATCACATCAATCGTGTCATGTATGAAATTGCTTTTTTTTTTGCAGACAACGTATGAAAACTTTCGATACCGCTATGAAAGGAAGATGAATCCCTACAATGTTGGAATTGCTGAGAATTTTAGAGAAATATTTTGCTCTAGAATACCAAAATCCAAGAACAACTTTCGTGCTAAGGTGAAAGTGGAATTCCCTTCAATCTTCAACACTTCCACCTACCCAAGCCGATCAATGAGCCCAGAGATGCCCAACATGAGCCATAACATAGAGATTGAAAAAAGGAAAGGAGTTGCCAATGATGAATTTGAAGACTTACAAAGGCAAATAAATAGGAGCATTGGTGACTTAGAGAGATGTGAACCTCAACCTAAGCGTAGTAATAAAAGGAACCACAAATTTACTTGGGAGAGAAGTCCTGGTTCACATGTAATGGATGAAGAGTGAGGATTTAGTTTCTTGGGAGTAAGAGTAATGAATGAAACATTATATGAACAAAGTGCACAATATGAGAGACATTCTTTTTTTCTAAAATATGACTCATTCACTTCTGATTAGGGAAGTTTTATACTTTTCATAGTATCAAATAAGTCTCGCTTTATGAGTAAAACGTATAGTTACTCCCATCTATAAACGGTGTCTATGTTTTACTCTTATTTTAGCAATTTCTTTTTTAAAATCTTAATTATCATCCCACGGGACAAAATATTGTTCAAATGTTTGTCACATTATTAATTTACATAAGTTTTGGTGATTAATCTAAACAAAATATTATTCTTAGTGATTAATAAATAAAATAGCATATTTTAAAATTAAAGGTTTGGTTTGTTCGACCGATTTTAAGATGTGGAAACCAACCAAACAACTGTTGTTCGGTTTTTGAGTTCAGTTTCGAGCTTCTTGCTTTTCAATTTATTTTGCTTGCGATTCGAGTTTTGTCGATTCGTTTTTCAGTTTCACCGATCCACCCCTATCTACTCCTACAAACAAATGAATGAAATTTCGCTCGATCTTTTTACGGACTTCTGTGTGGTAAGTTGGTTTTTTCAACAATGTCAACCATGATCTATATTGTAGATGCTATATTTTATTTTGTGAAGAAAAACCTATAAAAACTGAGAAAATCGTTGAAATAAGGAGAAAATATATTTGTTTATTTCTATCATGACTCATGTATATATATAGTCCGTTTGGTCACACAAAATTGGTTGAATATGATGAAATTGATGAAATTTGACCGAGGCTGTTGAATAGTAGAAAAATTATACTTAAATTATGCTTTATTAATAAATTAAAGAAAAACTTGTATAGAATATAGTTAAAGTAGTCATTTTTTGTAATTCACAAAAAATCATCAAAAAAACTTATTTTACTTATTTTGATTATTACATATTAAATTTAAAAATTGAATATGTGAAAAAAGGTTAAAAAGTAATGGGAATACATGACTTACCAACTATGTTTAAATAATCGGAACGGGAAGCGACCCGGCCACATGACTGGGTCACGGCTCAACCCGGACCCGGTGGGTTAACCCGGTCAATGTCGGAAAACCCGTCAAAGATCATATGTCCATATAGTAATAATAAACATATAATTATATACAAAATTATAATAAAAAATAGTTATTATTCATAATAATCAACTAAGGATAATACTTATTAAGCATTTAATACACTCTCATAATATTCCAAAGTATAATGTGATCCTATTAAAATATATAATGATATTTGTTATTTGTACTGTGCATATAATATAATTTGACATGATTTTTATTCCTAAATAAATATATAAATATATTACATCTTTTTAAGATATTGAAATTGCAATTTTATTGGTTTTTAAAATGCATTAAAATTAAAAAAAGAAATTACTTTTTTGGAAAGAACACCCAAAACCGGGTTTTTCGGGTTTTTTGGGGTTCAGCTCCGGACCGGGGTTTTCCGGTTTTTTATCATTTTGGGGTTCTGAACTAACCTATCCGATTTTTGTCCAGGTCATCGGGTTCTTGGCCGACCCGGTCGGATGGGGTCGGTTTTTTAAACATAGCTTACCAAATGGACTCACGTTTGCATGTAAGATGCTCTAGGTAGGCCATTTGTAGAACAGACCAACAGTCTTCAAAGCAGGCACGGATCGAGGGGAAAACGCAATTAAGTCTGGTAAAACTGGTGCAAGGCCTTTCCCTTTTCTAACTAAAAGCTTTTAGAAAAGCAGACTCCACGTTTCTCAGTCTTCTTCTCCCACTACCCTACAACAGTTGCTTACTTACCCATCTCTCTCTCCCCCCGTGTCTGAGCTGGGGTCTGAAGAAAAAGCTCATTGATTCATTGTAGCTATGCTGATAAATATGTTCTGATATTTCATCCTGCATTTCCTTTCCTCTGAACCCTGTAAGTGTAACTTGCATTTGTCTCCTGAATTCTTTGTTTATCCCTTTTATTGCAAAAATATCGCTCATCTCCAATTTCTAGGTCACCTATCATTCTTTTTTATTTCACCTTTTTTTAGTTATTGCTCATTTCCTTTTGTATTTCTTGGGTTACTTAAAAAAACTGATCTTGTTTCCTTATTATGCTTCAGCCTTCATATCATAGCTTTGCGTAAATTAAAGAAACTTGTCTTATTGCAGTCAATTCTTGCACTGTTTCTATGCATATTTATGAGATGATTACATATTGTCACATTTATTTTCTTTTATTTGTAACAGTGAGGACTTTATGTATGTGGTGATACGGAAATGCATGTGAAGGCTAATAGTACTCAGGATCTCCATCTATAGTAGTAAAAACAACTTTACCAAATGAAGAAAAATGAAACCCAAGCCATCAGAAAGGGAATTAGGCAATTGGTATTCATCTGCCTCCAGAAAATGAAAATGCTAAAAAATGTTACCTTTTCCCCTTCCATATGTGAAATCAAATTTCTGAAGTTTCTTCTTTAGGGAAAAACACTGCAACAAATGGATCTTATACCTCTCTCTCGTCCATTCATCTAATAATTTGATTTAATTTCTCTTACCAGATTGCATAAATATTCCTTCACTTTGATCAGCAGAACATACAGGGGGAAAATGACTAAAGTAACTCCAGAGTTCGTAGGGGCTGGGTTGCCGATGTACACATTTAAATCGGTATCAGCAGATGTGAGCTTTGTTTCTAATCAGTTCCCTAAATATAAGCTTGGACCGGATTTTCAGATTTTAGAGGAGACAGCATTGGAAAACAAAGGTCCTCCCCTAAAGGAGGTTGTTGAGGAAGAAACTACTCGTCTAACGGATCAACACAAGCGTCTCTCTGTACGAGACCTGGCTAGCAAATTCGACAAGAATTTGGCATCTGCTGCTAAATTGGCCAATGAGGTTTTGATTCAACTACTGGTTATCTATTGAATATAAAAGAATACGTTCTTCTGATTTATATCACACTTTTGTTTTTCTTGATGTACTTTTAGCTTTGAAGAACACACTTTATTATTAAGTTAGCATTAAGGAAATACTTGTGATGGATTCAGGCTAAACTAAGAGATGCCCCTTCTCTAGAGGGACACGTCCTTTTGAAGAAGCTAAGAGATGCACTAGAAACTCTGAAAGGAAGGTTGGCGGGTCAGTACAAAGAGGATGTTGAGATAGCTATTTCTATGGTTAGTCTTTGTTGTTTATTTGTGTTCATGTGAGTGTGTTCATATTAATATTTTTCTGAATATGTTCAAGCATAGTTGATTTATTTTGTCTAGGTGGAAGCCTTAGCTGTACAGTTAACCCAAAAAGAAGGAGATCTTATACAAGAGAAGTTTGAAGTGAACAAACTTGTGAGCATTTTAAAGCAGGTAATGCAATATTGGTGTTTCCAATTAATTATACACACACACGTATGTACATATACATACATACATACATACATACATATATATATATATATATATACATACATACACACACACATACATATACATGTTTTGTGTGTGTAAGATATAGAAGCATGTTGGTGTAAATGAACAAAATAAAGCTTTGCTATGTTATAAGAATGGGAGAACAAATTAGACAAATAATCCAATGTACTCTATGTTCTAAAGGCCTCAGAAGATGCAAAAAGGTTGGTAAATCAAGAGAGATCTTTTGCTTGTGCTGAAATTGAGAGTGCAAGAGCAGTTGTGCAAAGAATTGGTGAAGCACTTGAAGAACAAGAGATGGATTCTCAAGTGTCTGGGAAACAGGTGTTTTTCAGTCACTAGTTTCTTCTTGACTTTCTCTCTTCATAGTTACTTAGTTACTAGTCTCTTTTTCACTTTGATTCTTGGGTGAATAACTAATTCCCCAAGTAACAATAGTTCTTGTAGAATATCTGCATGTTTGTAACTTTGTATGTATTGTTCATTACTTTCTTCAGGAAGACTTGATATCTATTTCTGGTGTTTATTTCTGGTTATATTCATTTTCAACATTTCATTTTGAGATTAAAGGATCGAGCATTGTATTTATTTTTCGTGGGACTAACAAATTCTATCAATTCCGCATGGGACTGAAATGTTGAAATGAGTGTAGTAAAATCTTTCTCTGTGAGGTGCTATTCTCTTCTTTTTGTGCTTATTATTTATTCTTATTTTAATCACACTATAGTAGACCAGAAACACTCAGACATGAGTCACATGACCAGAACAAAAAAAAATCTTGACCAGATTACACTACAAAAAATCGGATCAGACCATATTTTAAAACGTGAAGATCAGATCACATTTTCAAGCAAAGAAAACAGGTCTTGAAGATTGAAATGTATTTGTTGTAGGAGGAAGTTAAGGAACTAATGGAAGAGATTCAAGAAGCTAGAAGAATCAGGCTCTTGCATAAGCCCAGCAAGGTATTTGTCTTTGAAGATCACTTGAAGTCCTCTTATACAGTAGTACTATTTGATCTCAACAAAGATAACTTTTTTACCATGATAACTTTTTAATAATTTTTGTAGGTGATGGACATGGAGCATGAAGTTCAAGCACTGAGAACTCTTATTAAAGAGAAATCAGTGGTTTCTATTAAGCTCCAACATGAGGTCTATTTCTTTCATTGTTTCTCATTCTGTCCATTCATTTTATGGAGTCAGTAGATAACCACCATACCATATTTTTTACTGATAAGGAATATATAATATGATGATGTTCTACCAGACATGAATATGTGATATGGTGATATCGATTGGATATAGAGTTATGATTTATTCTGTATTCAGATTATTATTCTTGATCCGTTTTTATTTTTTACTTTGTGCTGATTCAGCTGGTTTGTTCTATATTCTGATTATCCTGTTAAATCCTCCTTATTTTAAATTTTCATGGGATAGTGTTGAACTTGCCTTAAATTCAGCTGATTGATTTTTTTATAAACTCCCTTCATCCCATTTGACTTCAACTTTCTGTTTTTACTTGTCTAAAAAACTATGTCACTTTCCCTTAAAAGTAATTAATTCGTGGTTCTACTTATTTCTCTCTCGTTTGCACAAATCTCAACCTAACTCCAATTTGGCAATGTCCAATGGGACGGAGGTAATATTTTAATTGAGCATTTTAAATTAGTTAGGAACCGTTCAGTAAGACCTGAATAGATGAATTGCTAATATTGCGGCTGAAACGAATCTGCTAAATAAATATGGATGTGCATGTGCACATGCATACTTATGAATTAATCTTACAGATATGCCCAAAACTGGCGCACTATGTTATAGTGGATTTTCAATTTCTAATTGTTTGCAGTTAGCAATGAAGAAGAGAATGGAGCAAAACAAGTCTCAATTGTATCAAATAGTTGGCTCAGAAAGTGTAGGCTCAATTTTACGGATCCAGCCATCCTCAGACAAAGCCGTTGATCTTTTGAAATGTTCAATTCAGTGGTATCGGTTATCATCTGAATGCAGCAGAAGAGAGCCTATTTTAGGTATCTTATATATCTTGTCTTTATACAAAGGCCATGCTATAATTATCTTGGTGCATCATGTTATATTACTTATTACTCATGGAAACTTCATGTTTGCTTTACGATTTGCACAAAATTCAAGTGCATTCAATCAATATAGTTTGACACCGTATTTATTCATGACTAGTAAAATTTCAATTCCAATGCAATCCGTTCTAGTTCAAACAATAGAATTTGATTTCCCAATTTCCCGCTAATTTTATTCCCTCCAATAAAAAAGAATGCCAAAACCTGCTTTATTCATTTCTCATAAGAGATCAATCCCATTCTGCTTGATACTTCTTTCCAATTAAACAGCGCAAGAATATATTTTGTTTTATATAATGCAAATTTTCCTTGTAATTTAATTAATACTATTTACCAGGTGCGGATAAATCTGTTTATGCCCCTGAACCTATCGATGTTGGACGCGTTCTAGAAGTTGATATCGTCTCAACTCACTCAAAGTCCATAGTGACCACCATTGGACAAATAAATCAAGGTTGGCGATAGATGAATTCTGTCCATTTTGTTTTGTTTTATTAGGATGTTGTCTCCTTTACGTAACTCATGGGAAAATGAGCTTTTTACTCCCTGAGTTATACTTTGGGCTTTAACACACTTTTAGTTCTTGTATGTGTATAACTGATTTCTACATTTCCAGTCCCCCTGTTTTCCTCAAAGGGTTTTTAAGCCAGTCCTTTGATACCTCGGAAATACTGGACTAAAAAGTCACTATAGGAGATCATCAGGGACTGAAATGGAGAGATCGGAGGACCTAAGGTGTGCAGAGGAGTGTGTAACACGGGAACTAAAAGTATCATTTTCCCTTGATTTATTTTACAGTAGCTGGGCTGGAGAATTATTTGGAGACACTTCTTCGGAAATCCAACACGGAATTCTGTGTAAGTGATTAGCATTCAAGCTTCATTTATTGATAACATTGTTAATCCAACCTTAAAACCAAAGTGCTGGTTGTATATCTCAGGTGGTTATTGCCCAGATGAATGGAAGGAACTACTCATCTCGTTCTGTTCATTCATTTCATGTTGGGAAAATGAGGATGAAGCTTTCAAGAGGATGGATTACAAAAGCTAGAGATCCTTATTCCGTTTCCATGCAGGTACCATCAAAACGTGGTTTCCTGATAGTAATCATGAAAAAGAGTTTCCCCTTTTAAGTTTTAATCCATTGACTATTACAACAATGACACTTTTGGTTTCTGTCTTTCAAGTTTCTACTTGTAGTAATTTGACTATACTTTTGTGACATGTCTATGAATTTCCCACTTTTAGCCCGCTGGTTATTGTGATACCCACACTTTTGGTCTATGTTGCACGAAATGTGGGTGGGAAACGTGAACCAAGAAAAGTCATTTTTAATAGAAAAACAAGAGTTTAGAGAGTTCCTCTAGAGTTTTTGAAACGGAAATGTACTTTTCCCGATAGTTTCCGTGCTTCTTAGCTTTTGACAATCTATATAATGTGACAGAAACTTGGTATTCGACTATTGTGGCAAATTCAAAGACGAGTACTAAAAGTGTCGTTGTAACAAAATAGATAGAGGACTAAAAATTGAAGATTTGAAAAACGGGTATAGGAGTGTCTTGTCACACTAGTGATCTAAAAGTGGAAAAAGTGAAATACATGCTCCAAAAATTTCAGCCGCATTAGTCATATGACTTATAGTCGGAAAACTAAAAAATCATGATTTCTTATTTCTATGTTTCTGTAAATACCAGCTTTGCGGATTCAGAGGGGGAGGGAACTCTGCAGCAAAGTCATTGTTCTGGCAACCTCGAAAAGGTCAGTCCTTTGTGTTGGTCTTTGATTCAGAGCGGGAAAGAAATGGAGCTCTTGTTCTGGCAAGAAGGCATGCTCTTGATTGCAATGTAAGTATCTTCATCCGTCATAATATATCCATACGTTTTCTTTGCATCATAGGTTGTGGTTGTTAAAACATTGTAATTACAGGTGAACCTTGCCGGGCCTGATGATGATGTATTGCTGTGAAATCTAACCGCTGTCTCATTCATTTGTTTGTTTTTTCTTTTTTTGGTGGTTTAAAGGAAGTTGGTTGCATGTGTGGTGAAAGAAAGATGGTTTGTTACTAATGACTTTTTGAGTTACATCCATGAGGCATTTGTTTTATTGTGTGCCCAATCAAGGGGTTGTAACCATGTCACTGCTGATCATTTATTCATTTTTCAAGTGTGTTGTTTTTATATTTTTTGTGCTTTGTGTTTGTTACTTTGTTAATGCCTCGGTGGATATTGCAAGTGCACGGAATGACGTCATGTATAATAATAATAAATAAATTGATAACCCCGCAAATAATAACATTGTTTATTTGGGGACTTATTTAACTTCTGGCCAAGCTTAGACTAGATTATACTTCAAAAGATATCTTATGAGATAAAATAAAATGTAGTCCCTTAGATTAGAGTTTCCGTCATTTATAGTCCTTTGAATCCTTTGATTATAGTTAGTGACAATTGGTATTGGTCTTTGATTTTTTTCTAATTTTAATATTTCTAATATTCGTCTTGTAGTTATTGACTTTAAAACTCCTCATATTTAGTCTCTTACTGTGATTTTGTCACAGTAATTTTAGTTCTATTATGATTTTGTCATAATAGGTGGGGATTTAAAATCTCAATATCATACTAGTTAAAAGACATGTAATTTCATTTTTATAAAAGTTGAAGGACTAAATATGGAAAACGTCAAATATGAGTATCAAAAGTGTCTCACATAAAATTATAAAAAGTGTCACTAACATTATACGGAATAGTTTGAAAATTAAAAGGGGTAAAAACTCCATATAATAAAGTACGCAATAATAAACTGGTAGTTTCTATTCAAAGGAGCCAAATTATATATGGGTTATCGGTGTACACGTTTTTGTACATATTTTGTACACTTTGATTTTGTACACTTTGTTTGTATATGCAAGTAAGGATGTTTTTACTTGGACCGGTTTCAGTCTCAGAGCAGACCAGACCAGATTTAAAAAGATCAGACCAGACTAGACTTAAATAGATCATACCGGATCAGATTTAAACAGATTTGATCAGACTTGACATCTATAGTTATAAAGTAAACATAGATCAGACGTTTACCAGAACAGATCAGACCAAACATCCTAACTAGGGATGGCAATTTAACCCGATCTGATGGATACCCGCATCAAACTGAATCGGTCAAAATGGAGAAAACCGCTTTGACTGGGTAACGGGTACGGGGCAGGGAATACCCGATTTATGTAAACGGTAAAACGGGTAATGGGGCGGTTATGGGTTTATACCTTCTGCACCGTTACCCGCCCTGTTTAATTTGGATTAGGTTACCCGCACCATTACCCGACCCAATGGTTGGACTCGTGTCGGGCCACCCGGCCCGTGGACCGGCCCGGCCCGCTACTGTGCGGGACCGGGACCGGCCCGCTACTGTGCGGGACCGGGACCGGCCCGCTACTGTGCGGGACCGGGACCAGCCCGATTCTCGGGTCCGGGTCCGGGTCGGGCCTAGGCCCGGGGGGTAGGGCGGGTCCGAGCTCGGGTCTCAAATTTGGTGAACCGGCCCGGCCGGGTCAGGCCCGGGGCCGGGCCAAATTGATTTTATTTTTATTTTTTTTTCATTTTTGGGGTTCCACCCGGGTTGGGCTTGATGGGTAGGATGGGTTTGGGGGGGTTTGGGAGGGTGGGGATGGGGGGGGGGGGGGTAGGAAAGCAAAAAAAACAATCCGGAGGCCCGGACCCGGTGGCTACCCGGGCCGGTCCCGGGTGCACCATTCCTGAACCGCCGGCCCGCCCGGGCCTAGGCCCGACCCGGACCCGAGTCCACCCCTACCCGACCCGCACAATAATTTACATATTATAATAGTTTATGTATTTATTATTTAATATATTAAGTATATATGAATAGTAGTACATTAGTATATGACACTTATTCCCTCTAATTTTTTAAAAAATATTCAACTAATCGGCTATCCTTTGCATTTCTGAGGAGTTGGTGCTCAAAGTTCACTATTTTAGATTTTTAATTTTCAATATCATTCATCATCCTTCCTTTGTTAACTTCTACATGATTTATTTTCTTCACATATTGATTGTCTGATTTTCGTGATTTTTTGTACACAATTTTCACATTGTGACTCTCTTAATTTTTCACGATTTTAAAAAGTCCCAATATTGGGAAATATTACTCTAGATTGCTTTAATTTATGTAATTGCTAATAATTTTGTAGATGTGTATTGGATTATTAGATTAATTTTGATTGGTTGCTCTAATTTATATCAAGTTTAAATTTAAATTATGATGTTTCTAAAACAGTAACTACAAGAATACATAAATCATAGTATTAGAAATACATTTTTTAGAAATAATTCCAAATCTATAATCAAAATAAAAGTTGTGGACGAAAATGCGACTCTAGTAACTTTAGTATTAATAACTTTATTCAAATGTTACATCGTAGTGACTATAAAACTTACCCATGGTAACTTATAGTCACATTTAGGTCCATATATTTTTTATTAGTAATATTTTAGGAAAAAAACTTCCCATTTTCATTATGTTGCTTGTATACATTAATGTTCTTAAATTTAGATGTTGAATGATGGTGAGTATGATTATTGAATTTTTGAAAGTTAAATGTGTTTGTGATTCATATTTAGATTTTACTATCGAGACAAGACTTAATATTTTGACGTTGATGTAGTAAGAGATTCATAATTTTGAATCTAGACATATATAATTTGTGAATATTAGGTTCAAACGATTATAATTTTTTGTGATGTTTTAATTTTTTTTATCTATGGTGCTATTTAATTTTGATTTTTTTAATTTAGGTGGTCAATTGTAAGTAGTTAATCATCATTTTAGGATTTATACTAATTTTGAAGAAAAAAAATATCTTTTAATAAAACGGTTACCCGTGGGAAAACCGTTACCCACAGGGAAAACCTTTACCCGCGGATAAAAAATACCCGACGGGTAACGGGGCGGTTTCGGGGAAAAATATTATCAAACTGAGCGGGTACGGGTAATGGTATACCCGACTCCGAACCGCCCCGTTGCCACCCTAATCCTAACTTTTACTCGTCAAATTTTACTTTTTTAGATTAATTGCCTCTGTACATAGCTAAAATCAGTGGCGGACCCAGAGATTTGTCAGAGCAGGGGCACACTAGACACTAAACTTACTCTATAATAAAATTTTCAAATGTAATAAAGATGGTAAAAAATAAGGCAATAGCATAAATTATACGGAGTAGTTAATTGAGAGATTTACCTAAATAGGACTAAAACTTATGAAAAATTTCATTATAGGACTACTAGTTTTATCTGAAGTATCGTAGGACTAAAATAACAGCGGAATGCCGAATTTGCTTTGCGCCTCTCTCTCTTCTTCCGGTTCGCCACTTGCGAGCCCTGCTGCGATCTCAAGCCTTGTTGCAGTTTTCCCAGGTAAGTTCTTTATCTCAAGCTACTTGTTATTCTTCTTCTTTTTCTTCTTCCTCTTCCTCTTCTTCTTCTTCTCTTGTTTTCTCCTCTTCTCTTCTTTTCTCCTCTATTTTCTTCCCACTCGTACTCTGCTTCATTTTTATTTTGATTTTTGAATTTTCAGTCCACTTTCTTACTTTTGGGATTCTAAAAAATTGTTTTAGATTAGAAAATTTTGGATGAGAAATTAAAATAAAGCCGCAACGATTTTCTAGCTAGTCCTCTTCAAATTTGTAGTCTTATGTTCTCTTCTTCTTTGCATTTTTTGGATTTGAATTTTATTTATTCAACAAAATGTCACTTTTATAATCTGAGAATGTCAAAATTATTGGTTATTTGAAAAAACAGTCATTTTTGTGACAGTATATTTATCAGGATGACAATCTGAAAATGTCATGTCCATAAGAAAATGTCATTCTTATGGCATTCTATGGCATTTTTATGACTTATCTGAGAATGACATAACTAGGGGTGGGTTCGGTTTATGCGGTTCAGTTTTGACCTAAAACCAAATGTAGAATCAAACTAAAAACTTCGGTTCGGTTCGATTCGGTTTGCTCATACTTTTTTGTCCAACCACGGTTGAATCGGTTCGGTTTTGTTCGGTTTGACTCCGGGTTTTTCGGTTTTAAACCAAAAAGACACATACTTTCTGAAAAAAGAAATGAGGTGCAAATAACCAAAGTGCAGGAAAATAAAACACTAAGTACCGAAGAATGTCAATCCATGTCTTACAATTTAAATATAGTGCACTAAACATTAGTACGTGACACCTAAAAGCTAAGTGCAATAAACTTGAAAATAGTGCAGCAAAATAAAATGCAGTCCCAACTGAAATGAAAATAAAATGCAGTCCCAAAATAAAAAGAAAAAAGCAAATGCATTAAACTGAAATGATGAAAGTCAATCCTTGTCTTACAATTTAAATAAAGTGCATTAAACATCAGTACATGACATTTAAAAGTTAAGTGCAGTAAACTTGGATATAGTGCAGCAAAATAAAATGCAGTCCCAAGTGCAGTAAACTTGGATACAGTGCAGCAAAATATAATCCAGTCCCAAGTGCAGTAAACTTGGATATAGTGCAACAAAATAAAATGCAGTCCCAAATGCAGTAAACTTGAATATAGTGCAGCAAAATAAGTCTCTTACGTTTTAGGTTAAAAGATTATGGAGTACTACAGGACTACTAGACTCGTAAAAAGCCTCTTACGCTTTCGGTCTTGAGCATTGACCACATGACCGGCCATATACTCCATATAAAATAAATGATTTTTTTATATTTATAAATATTTCGGTTTTTCGGTTTTTTCGGTTTCGGTTCGATTTGAAATCAAACATGTTCGGTTCGGTACGGTTTTTTATGTTCGGTTTCGGTTTTTCATCGGTTCGATTTATTTGGTCACGGTTTGATTTGATTTGATTCGGTTTTCGGTTCTATGAACCCACCCCTAGACATAACTACTTGTTATTAGAAATGACATGTTTTCTAACATGTTTTCCAAATGATGTCAGTTTTGATGTCATTCATGACATTTTGAGAGCAAACACAACATTTTAAAAAAACAGAGCAAGAAGAAGAAAATCCATGGAGGAGACAAAGAGAAAGAGAAGAAGAAATCAGAGGAGGAAGAGCTGAATTTTTGAAATTGGTGGAGTTTCTAATAAACAAATTGAATGGAGATGGAGGAAGCAAACAAGATCAAACCTGGAGTGCTTTGAGAAATAGCAGGAGAAGAAGATTGAACTTGGAGACTATTTAGCAGAAGAACGGAAAGTGCAAGAGAAGAGAAGAATGAACGACGCAGGAGAAGAAGATCGATGATGTTGGAGGCTGTGTCTACGAGCAGGAGAGCTA